GGTGTTTGAAGGAAGGTCTTGTCAAAAGGAATATATCCGTGAAACATGAAAGCCCTAGCTCATAAGATACATGTATGACCAATTTAAGTTTATTAAAAAGTTGGTCAAGCTCTAATTAAGGTCAATGTAAAAAAAAAAACCTTATCACAATAATTACACAAGTGAAATATGAAAGCCCTAGCTCACATTAACTGTTAAAAAATAATTGTCAAGGTTAAAGTTCAATAAATTATTGCAAAAGTGGATCAAACTCCATGGTCAAGAGGTCAAATATATTGGTACCAATAGGTTTCAACACAAAGAATATATCTTTGAAAAATGAAAGCCATATATAGCTACAACCCACCCAATTAAAGTTATGGTCAAGGTTAAATTTTCTGCGGACAAACAAACAAGAAGACAGACAGACTAACAGCTAGACAGACGGACAGGGCGAAACTATAAACTCCCCAATCTTCGATCATGGGGCATAAAAACAAGATGTGTATCATGTGTTTGTGAAAACACTGTTGCCCATGTAAGACAGCTTATAATGGCAAAGGTAACGTTAAAACATACCATATTTGATTTTACGTACGTAATCACTATGTACCGGTATACACAAAAAGAAAAGTGATTACGTAAAATCAAATATAGTATGTTACCAGCCCCTGTGGGTTAAGTTTATATAAAAAGATCAACAAACAAAAAAGAACTGTGGTCCCTCGCTTTCGGTGACTCAGTGGGTGAGATGCCATTATTCATGGCATATTGTGTCAGTTATGAACCCCCTGCTATATGAAGTAATCATAAAAGTTGAAATTTTTGAAAATCAGGTCAATCATGAAGGTCAAGACAAGGGGGTAAAAATATCATAGCATGCTCGGAAACATCTTATCACAGCTAGATAATGCACAAATATGAAAACTATATCTCTTCTCAATCAAATGTATATAAGGAATTCGGAAAAAAACCCAAACATTTTTGAAAAGTAGGTCCAGATCAAGGTTACTTGGTCAAAAATCATAGTATAATTAGAAAGGTCTTGTCACAGGTAATAAACATGTATATTATGAAATTCCTATCTTTTCTCTTTCAAAAATTATGACCAATTTAAAATAATGTTATTTTTTTAAGTAGGTCAAACTCCAAGGCCAAGGTCTAGGGGGTAAAAAATCATGGCATATATTTGGAAAGGTCTTGTCTCAGGCAATATTCAAATGAAACATGAAAGCCTTATCTCTTGTCATTAAGAAGTTATGACCAAGGTTTAAGTTTTGTGACGGACGGACAGACCTGACTGACAGACGGACATTCGAAATAGATTTCATGTCCCCTCGTTTTCGAGAAAGCAGGGGCAATTACAGATACCAAAAGAACCGTTAAGTTTAAAGTTTTTCAAAAGTAGATAAAACTCCAAGGTCAAGGTTAAATCGTCAAAATGGTTGGTACAAAAGGAAAGTACTTGTAAAAGAAATAATACACATGTATGATACGAAACCCTAGCACCAACTATTCAAAGTTAAAGCCAAGGTTGGAGATTTTCAAAAGTAGGTAAAACCACATCGTCGCAAACCACGGCCAAAATGTACGCTCCTCTCCCATTCTAGGAGAGAGCTATATATGCGGACCCCGGACCGTGGCTTGAGACGATGGTAAAACCAAGAACAAGGTCAAAGTCTAAAAAGTGTTGTTACCTAAAAAAGGTTTCGTCACGAAGAATTCACATTTGAAAGCGAAAGCCGTAGCCCTAACTGTTCAAAGTGCCATTAAAAAAACGAAGACAAAGTGGTCAAGATCATTGACCCAGTGTGAGGTCTTATCAAAGAGAAGTGCGAAAGATCTTGGTAAATAAAGAAAACAATAAGGTTTGAAGTTAAACAGATGGTGATTCTCTCTGTTTAACTATAATTCACAACATATATATCATCAAAAGTTATATAGCCAATATTAAAATCTAGTAAAAATTTGCAGAAGATGCCCAATCACATTGACTTCGGAAGCAATTTGAGAGTGTAGGGGCTAATGGCTAATTGATAGAGAAAAAAAATTTAAACCTGAAAAAAAAATGAAAATAAAAAAAAAAGGAAAAAGGGTGGGGGCTAAACATTGCTTATGTTATGTCTATCTCTGCAAAAGGGGAGGGAGCTAAGCCCCCCTAGCCCCCCCCCCCCCCCCCCCCCCCCCCCCCCCCGGATTTGACGCCTATGACAAATGGAAAAGTCTTGTCATTTTAGAAAAACACATGTGAAAACCATAGCTCATGGAAAAGGTTAAAGTCTCTGAGGACAAACAGATAGACAGACGGTTGTATACAGACGTATAGTTGTATAAAACTATGCTCCCGAATCTTCTATTGGATATGGGGGGCGGGGGAGGGGGGTAATTTTCTTCAAAATTAATCAACATGATCAAGTATATTCAGTTTAGAAATTGTGCATGAGACGCCCTGCATCCTCATGATCGTCATGATTAGGTATGGACAGGTTGTTTATTTATTTGCGTGTCAGAGAATTTTCCCCCGAAAAACCCTAGATCTGCTCTCACTGTACAATATCGTCATTTACCGCTACGACATGATTAATAAAACCGGATTTAAATATTTGGTTGTGTCCAATCTAAAAGTAGTCATTAGTGACCTACTTCCGGTTAATTATTAGCAAAAAAAAAAGGCAAAGGAAAATGACAACAAAAAAGAAAGAGTCTAGCAGCGAGCCAGTGTTTGATCTTGAACAGCAGTTTATATTGCGATTACCTCCAGTGAGTACTCTTTTTTCTACAGGCACTTGAAGTGGGAATACCCACGAATAAAAAATAATATAAAGAACATTTAATTTGAATTTGATATTTCCACGTCTATGATCTGATGGTATCTGTATATGGTGTATGTTGTTCTATGCAAAGAGATAAGATTACACTTTTTCTTACGTTTAGAGATTGGCCATGTATGGTAGCCTATAATAAAAATAAAGGTAAATGGGGGGGTGTCCTTAGCTTGCCTTGAGACATATTTCCAAGGTAAAAACAGTGTGAGTGTTGCCTATCATAATTTTGCTAGAACTGTCAGGAAGATGTTCCTCCATTAGTCTCTTTAACCTAAACCCTATCATAAGTTTTATATGTTGTGTTAATGTAATCGGACGATTTAATATGTTGACGTTGTGACCGTCAGGGCGAGCGCAGATACTTATCCAGTTTTCATTTAGATCGGGCTCATTAAACCGCCCATGACATTCGGACTCTGACGTCATATGACGTCATATACATGTTGCATTACCAAACTGAAGCCTGAACAGGGCTGATTTTAATAAAGAACTGTTTTATTGACTATTTTACTGCAACAAATTCATTAAATCAAGGCAAGTTTATTATTCGTTTAACTTTTTTGTTCTTATTCTGACGAGGATGTTGTTTTAGCGTTGTGTACGAAACGGTGCATTGTGGGTCGGAATTACTGCAGAAAAAATTCTATTGAATGAATGTGCAGTAGTCCAAAATTTCTCTTCGCCCAGGCATTTTCGCTAGAGCTCGCAGTGACAAGTGTCGCTTCGCGACACTTGCTGCGCTCGCTATTAATAAGATGCATAAAATATTCTCCATTGACAGTTTGAAGGAGGTTTTGCACATCCCTCTCCCTTTATCTGATTGGTCAAAGATTTAAACTGTATCACTTCAACTGATAAGATAATGAGAGACGGATGTATAGAGTGTGTAAAATAGCAAAGTAAAGCCATGTTTTACTTCATCAGAAAATTGTTACTTTTAATTTCCATATTTATATTAGGGGAATTTTTTCACTTATTTTACTTATCAGAAGGGGAAAATAGAATATTAGGGGGAATTTTCTCTATTCAATGGGGAAAAATACTGAATATTGAAAGTACATATGCCCTTGATTAATCCCTGTTAGTGTAGGACCTTGCCTTACTTGAAGACATCACTCAATGGGGTGTCCTCTGTTATCTCTGATTACCTATGTTTACAAAGTTCTGCAGTTTATCCCACATGAAAAAATTGACCAAAATTATCTTAATAATTATGTTAGTACATGTAATATTATAAAGTCGAACCTCCTGATTTTGGACCAAATGATACTCAACATGATGATAATGAAAAAGAAACTTGATGCTCTGAGCTTGCCTAGATCTTGCCAACTGTGAACAAATACAAAAGTTTTTGTAACAGAAACCATAAAGCAATATACAGAAAAAGTTTAAGCTGCATTGTTTGTGATTTCAGGGTCCTGCAATGGCACTAAGACAGGATATCCAGTCCTCCTCTAACACACTGAAAGACAGACTGAGCATTGAAACACAGCCAGATTTAAGGCACGCAAATGTCAGATATGGAAATCAAATTTTCCATGGAAAGGTAATGTTAAATTTTAAAATGCACATATTGGTTGTATTATCATTGCTTACTTTGCAGCATTTGTATCGATGAACTACGATTAAACAATATTCAAAAGGTGCCAGTCAGGAGATTTTTTAGACATGTCTTAATAAAATCATCTTTGTATGGGCCTATATGAGAGGTATGAGATGTGGGGAATCTCAACACATTTGAATGTTACAAAGCGCACACTTTAATCATGAAACTGGAAACAGAGAGTTTACACATAACAAATTAATAACCAAAGGTTGAATAAATAATTGAAAGAGTACCACCAATGACTCCTAGTATAAATCTTTGAGCATGTAACAAATTAAAAAAGTATGTAACTTGAATGTCAGACACCTACTATCCTGTTTTTAACATTTATTTCTGTGATATATTTTAGCTTGTTGATTTACCAAGCATTGTTGAAACTCTGAAAACCGTGGACATGAAGACCTTTTACAAAACAGCTGATGTCTGTCAGGTAACTGAAGAAAGTCGTACCTGTTTCCTTTCGACGTTTGTAAAAGATATTTCACAATATTATTTTAATAATATATTCCAAGCTCTTTGATTGGCTTAAACTTGATCACATGATTTAGTATATACGAGGGTTGATCCAAAAGTTCGTGGAATTTCTTCATATTTCATTTATTTTTCAGTGAAATTGGTTGAAAATTACAAATGAAAATATAGACACTTGATGAATATTTTAAATTAAAAAACATTTTAAATATCTTTGATCGTAACTTTATGGCAGTTGCCATAGAAACGGTTGTTTGGAAAGGCGGGGGAGACATTGACGCGTTTATTATCATTTAAATTCTTAATTCGTGAAATAAGAATTAAACCTCCCTATGTGGTATATAAAAGGAAAATTATGTCATTATTACGATTGCTTGATATTTTTTAAACCTTTGTGTGAGAGTTTTACTGATTTTACTGGATATTTAGTTTATAAGTTGATGATTTATTGCTCATCTTTAAGTTGTTAGTTAACGTCAAAATTTGGTCAAGTCACGCGTATTGTGAAAATCCCGGGATCACTCGATCTTAAACGCGTATATTATAGACATAGGCTTGGGAAAAATGCATTTAGTTACTGGTTTTCCAGTGGCATAAGAAATTTAAGAAAAATAGAACTTCCATGGACGTTGATAAAAAGTATGGTCGCTTTTTAGAGGCTCTGTTTAAGTAAGTATCCCCCGAGACAAAATTAAATCGGTAATGGACGTTGTCGGCTGCCGGTCTGATCTTGACATTGCTACTGAAAAACATCATATGAAAAGATGGGTAGTATTTTGAAATATTATAAAAAATGAAGATAGTAAGATATATGAGAGGATGCTTTTTTGAAAAAAAATATATATATAGCATTTTGTAGAATTACGTATTATAATTGGACATTTGGGCGAAATGCTTCTATAACGTGACGTGACATATCTAACTTGACGTTATCGAAGATCCCCGGGTTTCCCAACTATCCATTTTTAGAAAGCTTGTGTGACCTTATTGGTGATTGGAAAGTGATGAAATTTTCCAATACTGTTGCATTAAAAAATATATTATGAAAATGCCTGTTGATTGATTTCATCAAATCACGATAAAATTTTAATTAGAAATTCCACGAACTTTTGATCAAAGCATATAGACTGGATTTAAATTTATAGAGTCTGAAATGCAACACATGTTAAATAGCGGTAATTTTCTGTAAAACAAAAAATTAATAGGAAAGATTTCACAATTATAGCTAATACAGTATATGACTTGATGTTTTTGAAAAAATATATATATACTTCAACTTGCATATAAATTTGTAATGTTCTGTAACTCATAAGACGTAACAATGGCCTGAATTATGATCTACTTAATATTAGAACATATTGAATATTTTTGTCAAAATTTATACAAAAAATAATCAAAAAGATGTTCATTTGTAGTATTTTCAATTAGTAAATCCTCTAAATTATGTAAAAATCTCAAAATGTCAAGGAAAGTGTAACACAGTTATATTAAACAACTTAATTTATTTTGATTTCTAGTCTCTAAGTGTTTAAGAGAGAAAACTTGTGATTTGTTTTCATTTTTCAAATTGTTTTCTTATCAACGTCTGTAAAAAATAATATAACAAATGTAGCCCTTTAATTCAGTCAATCCATAGATATATATCGACTTCACAGAAAAGCATATCGACCTCGTACTTCGTGCTCGGTCGATATGTTTTTCTGTGAAGTCGATATATCTATGGACGACCTCATCAAAGGACTATATTTATATATTTCTATTGTCGATTAAATTATTGTTGTGTTCTTTTTTTGTTTTAAATCTTCAATGAATTTGTAATGTTTTAGTACTGCCAATGGGAAAATATTTTATTTTTACCAAGATATTTTAAGCAGCAAAAGTTGGAGGGGGTTAATTTTCCATATTTACTTCTTATTAAGTCAATGTAGTTCAAGTAGAATGCAGTTATGGAAGTCATATGACTAAATACAACTGATTTGGTAGTATTTATAAAAGACAGCTACTTACTGTATTAGCACTGGATAGTACTTTTTGGAAGACAGGAAGTTGTATTTACTGTTTAAACATGTTTTAAAGTATATGTACTTGTGGAAGACAGCTTTGTACTGTTACACTAGAGACTGGAGATGAGTGATGTTTTAGTGGTGGAATTGTAAGGCAAATGTTATGTTATAAGTACCTCTAGTGGGAAACAACTATTAACTTCTTTGATATTGAAAATTTTTGTGGTATAGGGAGATAAAAAAAATTCATGTTCTTCATACAATGTAGTACATCAGATATTACCTATATAAAGTACATGTAGTGCAATATCTATCATCTGTACACTTTAGACAGATATTTTCATACTTTTTTTTAACTAAATTTTTTTTACAGATGTCATCGTACATAACATTATTTTAGTCTTTATTTTTTGATAGATGTTAATATGCAAATCTGATGAGGAAATGAGTCAAGATGAAAATGAAAGTCCAAAGAAAAAAGAGAAAGACAAAAAACATCTCTGGAACCATGGCAGTGAGGATTTATAATGCTATAATTAAATTTAAAAAAAATAGATGAAAGATACCTTTGGTAATAAAAATTCAGTCCAGTGAAATTATGAGGTATTCTCAAATAAATAACATTTTGAGAAGGGGGAGTTGAATATTGTAATTTTGTTGTTTTTCTTGTCAGTAACCAGACCTTTAAAGAATGTTCGAAAAAGGAGATTTAGGAAAACTCTCAAGAAAAAGGTATGTCTTAAAAAAAAGTAAGAAAAAGCAGAGAGTATCAAGGTATCAAAATTAATATTTATTTACTTTCATCATAGAAAAGTTACTGGATACAATCAAGCAAGTAAGCTAGTATTTATCTGCCTGTTTTCTTTCTATGCTCTAAATATAATTATTTTTATAGTACATGGAACAACCAGACATAGAGAAAGAAGTAAAGCGTTTGTTCCGCACTGATGCTGATGCAATTGACGTGAAATGGGAGGTGATTACAGAGGAGGAAAAACCGGAATCCTCTGGACAGACGTCAGTGGTCAATAAATCGGGAGGATCCAGCTTAAAGAGGGCAGATACATCCACTAGTCTGGATAATTATGGTAATTCAGCTCAGTACTATAAGATTTTTTTACAGTTCCTGGATGATCTCCCTTATTAAAAAAAATACATTTTTAACAGCCAAACTACGATGGTGCTTGAAATGAAAATCTCATTATTAAGGTTAAAAATTTTTTTCTCCATATGTACCATAAATGGTGGATCTTGTTAATGGCCCATCCTCATAGTTTCAAAACACTTTTTTTAAGATATTTGAAATGTTTCTTCTAAGATTAAAAGTGGAGTGCAAACATTTTATCACACAAATAAATTCAAACTAGTAGAGCTGTAGTCGACACTTTGAGATTACAAAGAGATTACAAAAAACACATTTTCAATTCCCTAGCTCACTAATTTCCATTTCAGTACAAAAATATATATGTCTCTAATATAACTACAGGATTACAAATTAAATGTTTAAATATTAACTGAGAACTTAGCTGATAGTTCTACTGTTTGTTTCAGCTATATTTGGGGACCTGAGCAGCTCTGACGAGGAGGAGGAGAAGGATATTAATGTAATGGACAGTGGTGAGGACGACATGTCTCGCCTCTCCTTCTCCCAGCACCAGATGAGCTTCGATGGCATGGACTCCTCCAATGCTGAGGCACAGGATGTCATGACCGATGCTGAAAATGGTCAGTCTGCACTCTCATAGAAAAGATATCAAATCTCTCTCTAGTCATTTTCTCTTGGAGTATGAGAAAATAAGACCTTCAAATACTTTGAATTTAGTTTTTTCCTCTGCAGCAAAATAACTGTTTTTTTACTTGCATCAAGGCACAGTAACTGTGTGATAGCCTTGTATGAGACTTAAGTATGATTTTTAAAAAGAAATTTAACAAGCAAATGAATTTTTCTGTATTTTAGAAGAGAGAATGTTTTGTAAGAGAACTGATAGGATTTATGAAAAGCTTGTATTTAATTTTCTTAAAATTGACAGCTGAACTACAAGGTAAGCTGAATGAACTTAAAAGACAAGTAGCAGAAATACGTCTCAGACGGGCTTCACAAGAACAGAGTGAATCCAGCATTACAGACCCAGAACAGAAGGCAAGCACATTTAATGTTATTGATATCAGGTATATAAGTTTTGTTGTTCAACAGGACAAAGATTTGGGAACCCGTATAATATTTAACATGTTTGTCTATCCTTCTGTCATTTTTCCATCACTGTGACAATCTTTTTTCTTAAGTAATACAGTATACATGCCCTAAACTGCACCAGTTGATGTATTTCCCTTTACGGGGAATTTGTTGACTGATCAGTTTTCTAGTCTAATGTATAAAGGATCTGAAATTTAAATAGATTTTAATTTTTATGTAGGAAAAAGCTCAAGCTATGCTAAAGAAAATTATTCAAGAAGAAAGTGAAAAGCTTCAAGAGGTAAGTTATGGTCCTCCCTTAAATGACCGGGTATATCATTTTATAGATTCTCAATTTTTTATTGATCATAGACATCTAGTTTAAAAACTTTATGAATAATTTAAAATTTTAGTATAAAATTAAGTTCAATGGTTGCCTATAATCTATAATTAGCTAACATGTACATGTACAAGAGGAAAGTAAAATATTAAATAGAAGTCCAAATACCTTCTAAATGGTCATAGCCTTTCATGTCTGGTAAACAATATGTAGACTCAAGAAAAAGAAAAAACGATGAATCTTTTGTAGCTGAAAAAAATTGTTCTGTTGGCAAATCCAAGATCAATAAATACGTTAAATTTTCAAATTTTTACTGATAAAACGATGCATCTTGACTAAAATGATTAGTGTGACAGTGTAAATAATTAAAAAGAGAAAATAAATTGAAAATAAAAATTCTTGAAATAAAATTAAAAAAAAGAAGGCATTATGTTTTTTCAAAATAAGTATCTTAATAAAAAGTTGACTATTTGTAAATATCAATTCATAAAAATTTTAGTTTTTCTGTAAAAATAAGTACATGTAATTATATGCATTTCTGATAAAAACTCTGACCTACTATGTCTTAATTAGTCTTTTTAATAAGTCATTTAAAATGAGATGGAAAAACAAGAGGCCCATGGGCCACATCGCTCACCTGAGCACTGTGGCTGGGAAAAAGTAGAAATTGGTTTATTATTAAATAGTTAATATCCAAAAGTAGTCCCATGACCAATCATGGCTTTGCTATTCTTGATAAGATGGTTTTTAAAGAATGTTCTTATATATGTATATGTAAAACTTTGATTGGCCATTGTGGCCCAGCCCTACACCCCGGGGATCAAGATTTGAGCAAACTTGAATCTACACTACCTTAGAATGCTTCCATATAAATATGATCAATTATGGCTTTGTTATTCTTGAGAGGAAGATTTTTAAAGAATTTTCCTATATATTTCTATGTAAAACTTTGGTCGGCCATTGTGGCCCCGCCCTACCCCTGGGGGTCATGATTTGAACAAATTTGAATGTACACTACCTGAGGATGCTTCCATGTAAATATGATAAATTATGGCTTTGTCATTCTTGAGAAGAAGATTTTTAAAGAATTTTCATATATATTTTTATGTAAAAATTTGGTCGGCAATTGTGTCCCCATCCTACCCCCGGGGGTCATGATTTGAACAAACTTGAATCTACACTACCTGAGGATGTTTCCCCATAAGTTTCATTTTTCCTTGCACAGTGGTTCTTGAGAAGAAGATTTTTAAAAGATACCACCAAATTTTCATTCATTCCCAATTATCTCCCCTTGAATGAGGGCATGGCCCTTCATTTGAACAAACTTGAATCCCCTTCACCCAAAATTGCTTTGTGGCAAGTTTGGTTGAAATTGGCCCAGCGGTTCTTGAGAAGAAGTCGAAAATGTGAAAAGTTTACAATGACAACGACGACAACAACGACGACGACAGACAACGGACAAATTGTGATCAGAAAAGCTTACTTGAACCTTTGGCTCAGGTGAGCTAAAAAAGATGTTCATTTTTTTTTTTTACATATTTGGCATTTATTCTTCTCAGAGAGTCCATAAACTCAAAGTGTTACATTACTGAATTTGTAAAGAGTTGAGAACTTTAACATTTCTGCATCACTTATAAATTTAAATACAGGGATGATAGAACAAAGTTAAATAACATTGATCAGGTGCTGTTGTTGAGGAGGCTGTTGACCTTGAAGTGACAGAAATAATCAATTTATGTGAGCAATTAACGTCTGGTACAATAAGGGGGAAATATTTCTATTGTTTTTAAGTTTCCCTAAAATTCTCTGAAGACTAAAATATTAAATGTGCATATTTATTAAAAAACACATTTCTGTTGAATGAATAGGTCAGAATAATGATATATTTAATTTTGAAATATTTAAATGGATAATTTCAAAAACTCTCCAGTCTACCAGCAATAAAATTTAAGTCAAAAGTACATGTACATGTGAGCTACCATTAAAATTGAGTTTTAATTTACTGTCTCAATTAAAGAATCATAAAAAAGAAAACATTGATCATTATTTAATTTTAAATGCATCTGTCATGTGTTTTATTTATTTGTTTCATACATGTTTTTTAGTTCTGTTCATTATTTTTGTTCTGTTGTTCATTTGCATGAATTATTAACAAGTTACAATAGAAGCTTCTGTAATATAACACTATAGAGTATCACATAGTAATTGTCAGTATTGAAGCTCTGTACAGACCAAAGGAAACATTTAATGTTTAAAAAAAATGTTTGGCACTAATTAGTCTAGGTAATAAAGGACTTTTTGTGCTGATTTCTGACAGAGATTGCTTCGATAGCAAAAGTAATAAATTTATATAGTAATAAAAAAACCTCTGTTGGTTAAAAGCAGAAGATAAAGGCAAGGCCAAATTATTTTATCATAGGTCATTCTTTATTCAGTATTTTCAATAAAAGCTACTTTTGACTAAGTCTCTCATTTTAAGGACTTATTTTATATGAAGTTTGATTTCTAAAGTTTGACTTGTAGAGGAAGAGAGGTTTAATTGTAATCAAAAAAAAAAATTAATATAAAATGTTGTTTTTTTAAATCAACGTTCTTTTAAAAGTTCCATGTAATAGTTTGATTTACAAAATTACCAAAGTTACCACACTTTAGAACAGATTTTACAAGGTACTTTCAAAAATTGACAAAAAACGAAAACATTACAAAAAAAAAAGAAAGAAAGGAGAAGCTACAGTTTCAAAATCACTCCATTATGTGTATCGTACCCTGATATAAAGGGTATTCTTATTTACATAAAAGCTTGATCAACTTTCTGTTTCTCTTTTCTGTAATTTACCAATTGTTTGAGAGCAGTAACCTGAGTCTGGGGCAATGTTTAAATAAATAGAATGGATGTTTAATGTTATGTGATTTCAGAACATTTTTAATAATAATAATAGTAAAGTTAGTAAATATTTTGATGGCTGTTTTTCATTTTAAATATGTTTTAGACAAAATATTAGACCAAAGTTACTATCGATTATTAAATTGAATTGGTACCACACAATTGATTATATAATCAATATATATTAGGGATGTACCTGTCCACATTAAAATAAAATTAAACGTATAATATTCAGATATCCTCCTGAATGAAAACAAATTTTTTTCAATACATAATCAACAAGACCAACTTCAAAACAAGCTTGGATGGGAAAGTTCCACCACAATTTGCACAAGAAATAGTGTAATGTCCTTCAATAACATTAAAACATTATATTTTCTGAATATTTAGAGAACATCAATATAATGTGACGCGCCAAGCAAAAACCTCCCTTAACGAAGAATTTTGACATTTTCAGTTTTTCATTGATTCTTGTAGAGTTTTTCTTTCTCTTTCATTTGATGTATAACATGACATATATTTCTGTGTATAAATGTATAAAATATCGCAGGACAAAGACGGAATATTTATATGACGTGCAGTGTACGCGTGTGTAACTGCATGAATTTTCATAACGTAAAATCGTAAATGACGTAAAGCTATATTATATAATAATTTAATGATTTTAAGATCATCAAACTTTTGATTTGATTCTCTTAAAAGTATCAACAGTTAAGATTTTTCATCGTAATAATAGAAAATAAACATTCTAAAGTATATCTTTGAGTAATTGAGAAACGAAAGACGGGTGGGGGGGGATCGAAATGATCGTCAAAGGAAAAAAACAAAACTCAAGACAACATCAAAAATCTTATCTTCCTCTGGGAGGTCTTCCAATTTATGGCATTTTAATGCAGTAAAATGGCAGATATCTACATCACTGCAATAGTAAAAGAAAGCAGCATTTGGATAAAAAAAATACTATTGCGGTAGTACAAACGACACACGTACGACTTCCTACTAGCTTGGGCTAGTGGGTTAACCCTTAAGCTTATTCGGTAAAGCACAGAGGCCTCGGGTTCAATCCCAATTAAGCAGATGCACTTAATTGTCTTTGTAGTATCAGTTTCAGTTTTATTGAAGTCGAGAGACATACATCTCATAGACATAACACATGTAATTATGAAATAAACAGACATCTTAACACGTGTAATAACGGAATAAACATACAACGTACATGTACAAAGCATATAATATTTCTGATAATCTATAAAATTGATAAAGATGCAGTTCTTGAGGCATTCGCTAATTGCAAAAATTTTCCTAAATTACATAATTCTTTTATATTTTGTGTACTGAGTAGCTGTACCAATTTGAAGACGCTTGGTCTTCGGGAGTAGTAGGATTTAATGTATTTTTGTCTTAATGTGTTGTAATGTGGACATTTTAACACAAAATGGAATTCATCTTGTATGTTACCTAATTGACAGAGACTACATGTTCTGTTATTTCTCAAAGTTTTATTATATCTTCCTTGTTCAATCAATAAGTTATGCGCAGATAGTCTTAATCTAGTAATTGTTACTCTATATTTTAGATGTATTGGTTTACATAAATAAGACTGAAGGGTAAAATTATCTACCAGGTGTTGATAAATGAGACATTTTGGTGATTTACCTAAATCTGACATAATGTTTTGGATAAATTCGTCACACATTCTCTGATATAAAATATCAATTGTGTTACTATTTATACAATTGCTATCGAATAGTTCTACTAAGCCAAGCCTATAAAATTCATTCTTAATATTTATAATCCAGTCATCATTATTTTCTAACCTTTCTTGTAGACATGCTTGAAGAATGCAATTGTCACTATTTCTTAATTTTAACCAGTATTTAAAGATTTTCTTTTTCCTGACCAATTCAAGAGGCAATTTACCTAATTCACAATATACCATACTGTTATATGTATTCTGTCTAACTTTAAGTATTCTTTTACAAAATGAAAGATGTACTTTTTCTTAATTGTCACTGTTACTCTATCAAAGTATTTATTTTTTAAAAGTTCGAGACAGCCATTAATAGTAATTATATAC